TCAGAACAGCCGAGCTCCATCCTCTTTGGAACCCCCCTTCAGGTAGTTGAAGGCTGCTATCAAATCCCCCATCATTGAGTCCAGCCCACTGCCTTCACTAGCAGGACCAAGTACTGATTTTGCCCCAGATCCCTAAGTGGCTCCCTCAAGGATTGAACTCACAGCCCTGGGTTTAGCAGGCTAATGCTCAAGCCACTGAGCTATCCCTCCCCCCTAACATGTTTATCAGAATCTGATAAACATGTTAAAACTCCCCCATGCCAAATTCTGCCATTTTTACTATCACAAAACTCCCATTCACTTTAATTCCATACAAAAATAATTATTGTTTTTATTTCCATTAATTCAGTCAGTCCTGGCCGAAAGACAGTAACTCATGCAGCTATCGGCACTGCCCAGCAAAGGATCGTAGGACTGACTAAAGATGCAGACAACTCTGTGGACACCCAGAAAAACACTATAAGAAATCAACCACTACTTTCACTTGATGCAGACAAGTCTAACCAATCACTCTCTCAGGGACCAAAGAAACAAATCAGTGGGTTTATGCCAGGTAAGAATAAAAAAAAGAAATAGTTTCAGTTAGTCAGTCTTTATTAACCAAAAAAAGCACCTTTTATTATAGATGGCACCTAGTCAAAAGTAAAGTCTTGCAAATGTAGGTAATGTGGGGGAAATTGTAGGAGGTTAATAATTATACCTAAAAATTTACCTTTAAAGTTTGCCAGGCATCATTTCTAGCAGTTGGTAAAAAGAAAAGAAAAATTCCAAAATGCTAGAAATACAGTCTAACCAGTTTAGAGGCAAACAGTACAAAACACTCAAAGAGAGCAAATATGGAAAACTTCTGCTGTGGGCTCTGCTGTTATTAATTATTTATATAGCAACATCAACGTGTTAGGCAGTTTACAGGCATGTAGGAAAATAGTTTCAATGGGACTTCATACATAGGAAGGTACTACTTCGTGGGAGGAAGGGTGATAGTATCTGCCCTGATGTGAACTGAGAGAAGGAAATTCTTTATGTTATGATCTCTTCCCTTTTTAGAACTGCACTTTTAAGAATACGACTACCTGATGTAAATGTAGAGAAGGTTCAGTGTCTTATGTAGCACAGTCTTTTGTGACACCTTTGTATTTTTAACAGTGGAGACCCAAAAAAAACAAAACAAAAAAACCCAGACCCCACATACTGTTGCCTTAGTGGGCAAAGAGGCTTTTGTGAAGAAGAATATCACTGTTGGAAGTTACAGAACACTATCTTAGCAAAAGCTACAGAAGCTGCAGTGAAATCAGACCTTTCAATGCAGTCAAAGCATAGGTAGTTCCCTTGCCAGGAAGCTGAAACAATCCAATACGGTTAACAAATGAAATTAACTAGAGCTTTTTATTAAAGAATAAGTTACAACTACACAGAGAGTACAAGACCCTCACATTTTAATGGATTTTTAATGTTTAGATGTGAGCTTAGCTTCCAGAGATACATCTGATTAGAAATATGGTTTTCTTTTCTTGTTGCAACAGAGCAGTGCTTAGTGCCCCCCGCTGCCGGCCCTTGTAAAGGGCACTTCCCTCGCTGGCACTTTGATATTTCTTCAGGCACTTGCCTACATTTCATCTATGGTGGCTGCAAAGGGAATGAAAACAACTTCCTTCAAGAATCTGACTGCCTCAGTGAATGTGTAGAAATTCATGGTAAAAATGACCTCCGTTGGGAATAAGGGAATATATCTTTATAAAGGGTTTTATTTATTTATATTTGCTCCAGCAGTGTAAAATGAACTCTGCAACAAAGGCTCTTTAGAGGAATAACTTAAAATTCGCTATTCTGCCTGAAGTCCTTTTACCTCTTACATTTATTACTAACACCGAAGATTATAACTGAAAGTTAGAGGAAAATGGAATGGTAGCTTTTATTCAGTATGGCTTGGTCTACACTACCCCCCTAATTCGAACTAAGGTACGGAACTTCAGCTACGTGAATAACGTAGCTGAAGTCGACGTACCTTAGTTCGAACTTCCCTTGGCCCACCCTCGGCAGGCAGCCCCCCCCGTCGCCTCTGCGGTCCTCCTCTCGCCGAGCTGGAGTACCGCAGTCGACGGCGAGCACTTCCGGGTTCGACTTATCGCGTCCAGACTAGACGCGATAAGTCGAACCCAGAAGTTCGATTGCCAGCCGCCGAACTAGCGGGTAAGTGTAGCCAAGGCCTATGTTTCCTTTGTGCTATTGTCCACACTTCTGTATTGACAGTGTCAGTGTTTACCTCTGCCCAATCAGTTTCTTGTTCAGCTTCCCATATTAGCATGTGCTTTTCACACACAAAAAGAGGAAATGGAAAAACATTTCTAAAAACGGGAAACTGATTATAAAACCACAGAAATTGGTGTGGGAAGTCAGGAGCAGGAATAGCACTTGAAACTACTTTTAACTCACTTTTTTTAAGTGGGCAAGATTTCCAGCTGATTATGTCTTTCATTCTTGTGCTTTTACCATTACTTTTTTATAAGTTTCAGTTAGAATTTAAACTCATTTCAGTTAAAGTTAAACATTTCCTTGTAGAATAGAATCTCACTGATCCACTAACCCAGTACTTTTAACTAAAACCATGGTAACCTCTGCCCATATCTCAGCATTGTTATAATAGCTTAAATTGCCAGACTTCATCACTCTCACAGCATATGCTACAGCACATTTACTAGTATGCTAATATAAGAGTAACATAACTAAATGATACTTATCAAAATAATTGAAAGCAAGTACATTTCGTGATAAAGTAGTCTTGAAGCAAATAAACCTACTACGCAAGGATTAGTAATAACAATGGGTTTGCAGGGCACTCATGTACAGTTAGCAAGGTTCTGCAGTATCTCTTCATGTCCCATGTTGGGAAGTCTGTGCTGATGAGGTACTGATAAAAATCTAAATCTCAGCACATTGGGGTTTGGGGCTTAAAAACATCAATTATAAAAAACGATCAACTATTGCACCTGTAAGAAATACAGGCTTGGCAGACAAGTACACATTTTTAGGATGAGATGTTTCTTTAAGACACAGTGTTGCTTTTTTCTGAAGAATTTTGAATAAATCCAGTAATACTCTGACACAAAATATTTACATGAAGCTGTGTGGTGTGAGCATCTCAGCCTCAAATAATTTGGGCCTAAAGTCCTAGGTAGCAAACTCAAAGCACTGAAACTTATAGTTTAATCTACTTTGTGTTTGCTAGTACTGATGTGTTTCTACTGGTTTAGTGAGAAGAATCAACTACATGATAGTCCCTTATTAAAAAAAATCCCATTAGTGACCAGCCTTGTGGTGATGTCATATAGGGGAATGATGGTAAATTTTGTTTCTGGGCTTGGTGTCCTTCCTGGCTGAAGAGAGTGCCTTGATTGCACAATAGGGTCCCTCCAGCCACCTGATGAGTGGCACTGTTAAGCTTTCAAGGAAACTTCTTCAGTCCTCTGCTTGAAAGATTGTACCTTCAGTGTTGGCACAGGCAGGGTTAAAGGAGTAAATCCCATCAAGGAAAGAAGTCTTCAGTGAGGATAAAAAAGTACTAACACTGAGGAGAGCTAAGGATAGCGCGAGTAGAAGCCATTCAGGCTTCCTCACACAGATCTACAAATGTACTTCTGTGTAATAAACAACACTCCCATTTTAATATAGGTCCTCTCCTGAGTTGGCATGCCAAATTCTCTAGTGGTTCTCTCAGCTGGTCCACATGTACATCATGTTTATATGCCTGCGAATAACTAGATGAGGCCCACCAAGCTAATTTTACTTGTGAGCTCAATCAAATTGACAGTATGTCTCCCAGGTGTTGCAAAGGTAGTGTTTATAAACCACTGTGCCTCAAAAATATATTAAAATGAAGTCTTAATCTCAACCAATGAGACTTTCTTTGCAAAATATGCTTTTTTTAAATGTATTCATTAACAGGTGCAATTTCACAACAGACTGCAACGGATCTGTCATCTCAATCCAATTCAGAGCCAGGTTTGACTTGTTTTTAAATAATTGTTTTGTATATTATCACAAAATTATAGGCAAGGGAAGGTAAATGAAGTGGTTTAATAGATGCAATGGTTGGAAGTTGACAATAGGCAAAAATCAAACTAGAAATAAGTGCAAATTTTAATAGCAAGGGTAATTAACTATTGGAACAGCTTACATGAGGATGTGGTACATTCTCCGTCACTTTGAATCTTTACATCAAGAGTGGCAGTCCTTCAGTGGTATGCTCTAGTTCAGTGGTTCTTAACCTTTACTGCAGCCTGGACCCCTTTGGTTCTCAAAATATGTTCTCGCACCCCTTATCAAAAATCGTTGAAGTAGGTCAGTTCTTTAAACCTAGATATATTTTTTGTTTGTATATTACAGTAATTATTAAAAAATGTATAATGTTAATAAATACATATGTTTGATGAAACAAAGTAGTTGTACTTACGTGCCTGTGTTTAATTTGTGTTTTCGATGATCTACCTTCTAAAAAAAAATCTGGCATGTTTCGCACCCCCAGAAAGGACATCTCACACCCTCAGGTGGTGCGTGCATCCCAGATTAAGAACCACTGCTCTAGTTCAACCATAAGTTATGGACTTGATGCAGAAATTATTGGGGTAAATTCTGTGGACTGTGTTATGCAGAAGGTCAGCCCTGGAAATCATAATGGCACCTGCTGATCTTAATCTATGAAGAGAAGAGATTTTCTTTGTGATAAGAGGTTGCAGGAAGCAGATTCTTACTTTCCCTTTAAATTACAATGATCGTTAACAACACTACTGGGGACATGTCACCCTTCCCTTCTCCCCTCCACTAGTGAGCTCCCTATCAGTGAACTTGCCTCTGGGTACTAAGATATTGGATAAATGAATCTCTTTGCTACATGTGCTCAGATACTATCGTGATGGACAGCAATATAAAACTCTTAATTAATGTGTCTGACTGGACTAACTGTGGTGTGGATTATTTAGGACCCTGTCTACACTACACGAATTACCTGTTGTTAACCACGGGCTAACTCATTGTCCCTACACTCCCTCCCCAATTGGTTTTGGAAATAGTTAGACCACAAAATAGACAAAGCTTGTGATAAAAAAGATATTTGACACCTTGTGCAAAGAGCACACTTTCTGTAACAGGGTCATGGCTTGGCTCTGTCTACAGTAGTGCCCAAAACATTTTCACTGTCATTGAGATCAAATTCTGGGGGACTGGCTGGGAACAATGGTCAAAAGGAGATAACTTTCCCTCTGTAGACACACCCTCTGAATTGTGTAATTCACACACCTTCTCCTCAAGAGACCAAACACATCACTTCTGCATTGCAGCTAAGTTGCTGTTCTAAAGCTGCTTTCCATTGTGGTGCTATTACATTTGTGAGGTAGTGTCATAAAAGTTTGCTTGCAGCTAAGCAAATTGGAATGGCAAGCTGGCTGTGAGCAGCAACAGCAGCTCTAGCAATCACAGTCTATGTAGGAGGCCTGAGTTTAGGAATGCCCCCAAGACTTTCACTTCCCAGGATTCTGGGTGTATAAGTCACCGTAAAAACTTTGCATTCCTCAGGTTTAGTGTCTCTCACTGTGTCCCAACTGGCCTATGCCAACTGCCTTGCTGCACTGTTTGGTGAGGGAATTACAACCCTTGATTGAATCCCCAAGCCATTACTTTACTATGCTTCTGAGGCACACAACAGCAGGAACCACAACTTAAATTTATAACCAGTTTATCTTATATAAAAGCACACTGTATTGGGCACACGCTAAAAAATAAGGTGAGAGTCATAAAGTACAAATATTAACTCCAGACAGGCTTTAGACTAATAGTACTAAATGTACAGCTAGACAAACAATAAGCTGAAGTACACATTATGTCACATCAGGAAAAAAAATCCTTGCTCAGACTCAGTGCTCCTAAGTTATCTCAGCAAAACTGTCACCCAGCTTGTTAGCTCAGGGTCATTCGTCCATGCAGGACTCAGGGGAATGCATTTCAAGACCCAGGAAGAGACTGTGCTAGGGTGAATGATTTGTTTCAAAGGAAAACCAGATTCCTTTGTTCTTCAAAAATCTACACACACACTTTGTATGAAAGCACTACAGTTGCCCATTGTATCTTGTTCAAAAACCTGTTTGGAGTTGCCTCGTCTTTTTTTCCAGCCCACAACAGATATGGACACTAAGCAGTATTAGCTTTGATTGGCTTTGCCCAGCCTATATTAATAGCCATTTTCTTAATGATCCTACAACATGTTTTGTGATGGGTCTGTGTTGTTCCCTCAAATTTATTCCCCCAAATTCTCCCACTTTTGTCCATACACATTCAGCCATGTTTGCTAGATGAACCTCTATAAGCTGTTGGCGCTAAAACTTGCATTGTCTTGGTGTGATAGAAATTTGAAAATATTCATCCTTTAGATCGAAAGTGAGGCTGTTGATGGATCTAGGCTACATCTACACTATGGAGTCTATATCAGCCTAGCTATGGCAACATAGCCCTCTAGTGTAGATACAGCCCACACTAGTGGAAGTTTTTCTGCTGCTGTAGGAACACTATCTCCCCAAATGACATTCTCTATGCCAACTGAAGCACTTTTCTGTTGACATAGTTGCATCTACGCGGGGGTTTTGTCGGCATAGCTTGTGGTTTTTTTCACACCCCTGACTGACATAACTATGCCAGTATAAGTTGTAAGTGTAGACCAAACTGCAGCCTGTCACTTTCATTAAGTCATCCTGCTACTGCATCACAGATTACATAAAATTGCAAAGCCGTGAGAGGAGACTATGGGCTGAATTCTGTAGAACCTGTGCAAGCAAATCTGCTATTAGGAATAGGCCACCCACCTCCTCAACTTTAACAGTTCCTTAACAGCAATAAAACATGTGCTTTCTTTTCCCTTTACAGTCTAGAAAGAACACAGTTTTATAGCAGCTCTTCTACATTAAGTTGAAGAGCCCAAATCAACACATCCACCCTCCTTAGAATACCTTTCCCACATATTTATAACCTCCTGAAAGTATTTAGATATAGTACTAGAAGATTTGGATGTTGGAGACGGAGATGGGTCAGAGTTAAGGGTGTTTGTGGGACCTAACTGAATTTCCTGACTTACAAAACATGATTTTTTTCAAAACTTTAACCAGAATTAGAAATGTCCTGGTTTTCAAGTATTTATAGCTCTCTTCTGTGGTGTTTTAACTGATATTTGGTTAATCCCTAACCATGTCTTAGTGAATTTTTTTGTTTGGAATTTATAACTATCTCCTATGCATGGCTGAAGTTTGTTGTAGTTGGTGCATGATGTAGGGGGATTTTTCTTTGTAACTTAAGTTTTAAAAAAGTTATTTCAAAACATATACGGATCAGCAGCTCTTAACCTGGAGTATGGTAAATTTATCCACTTGCACCTTGAGTAGATTGTCACATGACTCAGAGACAAATCTATTTCCTCAGTCACTGAATTGTAATATTGATCTCTCTCTTGCTTGATTTTATGCAGCTAATAGTTCCTCAGGGAAAAGGACAGATAAGAACGAAAATGGCATTGTTGTGTCAAAAAGTGATCAGGCTACAGGGGGGCATCCAGTCCCAGAAACAGGTAAGACTGATATATATTTTAATCTACAGATTTTCTCTTGTTATTTCTGATCTTTAAAATCAGATCATCATCAGCTCAGCTAGTATTTTTCAGGAAGGTCTGACAGACCCAGCTAAAAATAATAAGGAAAGGAGTAATATGCTACCCTAGCAACAATACTGCTAATACATGTGATTTATACACCTCTACCCCGATATAACATGAATTCGGATATAACGCGGTAAAGCAGCGCTCCGGGAGAGAGGGGGGGGGGCTGCGCACTCCAGCGGATCAAAGCAAGTTCGATATAACGCAGTTTCACCTATATGGGGGGATATGATAAAGGTATATAAAATCATGAGTGATGTGGAGAAAGTGGATAAAGAAAAGTTATTTACTTATTCCCATAATACAAGAACTAGGGGTCACCAAATGAAATTAATAGGTAGCAGGTTTAAAACAAATACAAGGAAGTTGTTCTTCACGCAGCGCACAGTCAACTTGTGGAACTCCTTACCTGAGGAGGTTGTGAAGGCTAGGACTATAACAGAGTTTAAAAGAGAACTGGATAAATTCATGGTGGCTTAAGTCCATTAATGGCTATTAGCCAGGATGGGTAAGGAATGGTGTCCCGAGCTTCTGTTTGACAGAGGATGGAGATGGATGGCAGGAGAGAGATCACTTGATCATTGCCTGTTAGGTTCACTCCCTCTGGGGCACCTGGCATTGGCCACTGTCGGTAGACAGGATACTGGGCTAGATGGACCTTTGGTCTGACCCGGTACGGCCGTTCTTATAACGCAGTAAGATTTTTTGGCTCCCGAGGACAGCGTTATATCGGGGTAGAGGTGTATCTCATAGTTTCTCAATGTAAGGTGCACGAGATAGTTCTGCATTACTTCAACCAGGCTGGGTCCTATTGCTTAAAAAAGGCAAGAAAACTGTAATTCTTCCCCGCCCCATTTTTGGTATGTTAAAGTGTAAACTTTCTTAACCTCTCTTTAGGTGCTGTGCTACCCCTGGCTTTAGGCTTGGCCATCACTGCTTTGCTGCTGCTTATGGTTGCCTGTCGGCTGCGTTTGGTGAGACAGAAACTTAAAAAAGCACGCCCCATTACGTCTGAGGAGTCTGACTACCTCATAAATGGGATGTATCTATAAAGATGGGATTTAGGTTGCTTGTTTTCTCCACTACGCAGTTTTCCATAAGCCTCTGCCTCCAGCAAATGACTCTCTCTTTAATAAGACTTCAAGCTTTAAAAAAAATAAATAAATAAACCTTCTAGAAATATCTCTTTAAAGTCTGCAAGGTGAGAAACATGTTTGCCCCCTTTGGTTATATAGTAGGATTTTTCTATTAATTACCAAGTCCAATTAGTAATTTGGATTAAATCCTGCTGTAGGTTTAAAAAAAAAATCAATGCAGGCTATGCCTGAAAATAACCATGTTTTTATCATATGCAGAAAATGCTGCAGGTTGGAGAGGCCACCACTGGATGGCAGAATATCTTAGTCTTACACCTCATTTACTCCCATCCAGGAACACAGCTGGACATAGTTGTGTTTCATGTCTGACAGTAGCCCAGGATTAGAGTAATTGGGATACAGCAAATCAGGACAGAGATACATTGACAGAACTGTGTAGGAAAGCAGCTAGTGTCAGTCAACACCTTGCCTTGCTCCTCACTGGTGTCAGAAGAGTTGCCCTCTAAAATATAAACATTGTTGTTCAGCATGTTAATTTACCATCTGAGGAAGATTTGCGCACCTGTTAAAAATGCAGCTTATGCACTGGAAATATTTTCGTCAGAAGTTTGTCTCTTTGTTAATTAATAGCAATCTTTATCTAAGCAAAGTGCCACCTTTTGAATTGCAGTTTTGATTTTTAAAAAGTATTCCCCATTCTGCATAGCTTAAATCCCTTTACAGCTAGGACTCAAAAATGCAAACACGTAACATTCCAATGAAAAATATCAGCACATGTTTAGACCTACTCAGTGCCAACAGCACACGTGAGATCATGGGACTGTCCCCTCCCCCAAAGCTCATAGCTTGTTCACCTTTTCCATCCCTAACCCAACACACAGAATTTCTAAAGAGATACATGCAATGACTTTGGTTTGTGCTTTAGCCTGGTCATACCTTTGTTAGAGAGGACAGGATTTGTTCTATTCAGTGTTGTCGGTAATAAGTGAAGTTAGTTCCAGCCAGTCTTACACAATTAGTGCTACTGTGGCTTCTACTTCAGTGGGCTTGATACTCAGGACTAAACTTTCCATATAAATATAGATGAGACGTTCCTGCTTCTGGAGAAATTTAAGAATCTTGTCAATTGAACCCTTAGCTCCCAGCAAAGCTTTAGTGGCTATCCCAATAAAAATTTCCTAGAACTAGAGCAAGTAATTGATGTGTGAATGAATTTAAAATGTGCTAACAGTAAAATGTGTTCAATACATGTTAAATATATACTGTGCTGCTTATCCTGTTTGTCTGAACGTGCAAGGGTGTCACATCCATCAAGTGTCCCAGTAAAAAAATCAAGACAGATGAGGTATGCATCTTTTTGTATGTCGTCCTTTGTACTTCAAGGAATTAAAGTCAATTTGAATATTGCTGTGGTATACAAATCACTAATCAAAAAGCCCATGATGTTCAAGTCTTGATTACCTTTATGAAAAATAATAGCGATAATAAACCTATTTTATTCTTAAATTTTTGCATTGTATTCATTAGCAGTTAAAGTTTAAATTCTCATGTTAACATTGTCCTTACCAGACAGCTTGCATTTTCTGGAGGGAAGGAGAGATCAAACCATCATGTCAGTAGTCTATTTCCCCCTTCCTAAACAGCATTAAAAGGGCCTGAAGTCTTTATTTCCCAGAGTGGATTTCAATCAAAGCAATTTAAATAATTGATTTTAATCATATTTTGCATTTATACATATTATTTTCCTGAAGAAAGGTTGATTTTTATCAGTAAGCAAGCATTAAGCCATGTTGATTTGCAACCTAATATAGTATTTACATTAAATTTGGTGCTTCTTTTTCCTAACCAGAAGGATGCACTATATCAATACACATTTAAACAATTTTATAGCTTAATTTATTCAAATTAATTTTTACATTTGTATTATGTTGGGAAAGGGTGAATCATGCATTCCTTATTTACTAGATTGATTTTTTTTATGTGTGATTTGTGTCAAACTCTATTTGGATGGAACAGAGACCTTTTGAACTTTTCCAAAACACACACACACACACACACACACACACACAGAGCATTAGCCACCACAGAACAACAAATGATTAGGGAACTCATGTGGGAGACCCAACTTCAAGTCACTACTTGGAATTAGGCAGAGTAGAGGGCTTGAACCTGGGTCTGTTACAGCCCAGGCAAATAACTGCACCAGCAGGCTACCATCACACTCTGCTATCTTAATCTCTCCTGCTGAAGCTGTTCCACTTTATATAACTAATTAAATGGCCTATAGAAAGTCTCTTTTCCAATGACTAATTGTTGGGGCACTCATCTGAGATGTTAAAGTTCCTACTCATTAAAATATTTAATGTATACAAAGTGGAACAGCTCCAACAGTAAAGACCCCTGAATAATAATAATGCTTCCTATCTCACAGGGGTGTTGTGAAGTGCTTTGAAATTACCAATGAAAAGTATTTTATAAGAAATAGGTCATGTTATGCTTTTTTTGTAACTTAACCACAAAAGTCAATGTTTTTGTTTTGTTTTTATATATAGTTTTCTGGCAATGAGGGTGGTGTAGAGCTGGGGAGTGTGGGAGGAAAAATGCTGTGTTAACCTGCATGTCAAGGTCACATGGTGCTTTGGATGGGTCCCTCTTGGGTTGGATATTTTTCAGATCAAAATAAATTGAAAGGAACTATAAAAGATGCATACATATCAAAAGCTAAGCAAGAGATCTTAGTACGATAACTTAGTACCTTGTCAACAAACATGTGGACAAGGGGGATCCAGTGGACATAGTGTACTTAGATTTCCAGAAAGCCTTTGACAAGGTCCCTCACCAAGGCTCTTACGTAAATTAAGTTGTCATTGAATAAGAGGGACGATCCTTTCATGGATTGAGAACAGGTTAGAAGACAGGGAATAAATGGTAAATTTTCAGAATGGAGAGGGGTAACTAGTGGTGTTCCCCAAGGGTCAGTCCTAGGACCAATCCTATTCAACTTATTCAAAAATGATCTGGAGAAAGGGGTAAATAGTGAAGTGGCAAAGTTTGCAGATGATATTAAACTGCTCAAGATAGTTAGGACCAAAGCAGATTGTGAAGAACTTCAAAAAGATCTCACAAAACTAAGTGATTGGGCAACAAAATGCAAATGAAATTTAATGTGGATAAATGTAAAGTAATGCACAGTGGAAAAAAATAACCCCCCATCATATTGTATGTATGGTTGGGCTAATTTAGCTACAACTAATCAGGAAAAAGATCTTGGAGTCGTCGTGGATAGTTCTCTGAAGACGTCCACGCAGTGTGCAGCAGCAGTCAAAAAAGGAAACAGGATGTTAGGAATCAATCAAAAAGGGACAGAGAATAAGTCTGAGAATATTTTATTGCCTTTATATAAATCGGTGGTACTCCCACTTCTTGAATACTGCATACAGATGTGGTCTCATCTCAAAAAAGATATACAGGCGTTAGAAAAAGTTCAGAAAAGGGCAACTAAAATGATTAGGGGTTTGGAACGGGTCCCATACAGCTTGGAAAAGAGGAGACTAAGGGAGGATTATGATAGAGATATATAAAATCATGAGTGGTGTGGAGAAAGTGAATAAGGAAAAGTTATTTACTTGGTCCCATAAAAACTATGGGCCACCAAATGAAATTAATGGGCAGCAGGTTTAAAACAAATAGAAGGAAGTTCTTCTTCACACAGAGCTCAGTCAACCTGTGGAACTCCTTGCCTGAAGCGGTTGTGAAAGCTAGGACTATAACAGGGTTTAAAAGAGAACTAGATAAATTCATGGAGGTTAAGTCCATTAATGGCTATTAGCCAGGATGGGTAAGGAATGGTGTCCTAGCCTCTGTTTGTCAGAGGGTGGAGATAGATGGCAGGAAAGAGATCACTTGATCATTACCTGTTAGGTTCACTTCATCCGGGGCACCTGGCATTGGCCACTGTCGGTAGACAGGATACTGGGCTGTATGGACCGTTGGTCTGACCCAGTATGGCCATTCTTATGTCCTTTCTCTCACCCCAGGCTCCACCACTTCAGAGTTTGTTTCTCTCACTCCATCATGTCTGAATTAAGTTGGGACTGTTACCTTTATTTGTTCTATAAAGCTCACACTTTTCAACACTAAGAAACAATATGGAAGACCATCCTAGAACACACTAATGTATAAAAGGGAGCCAAAATATCCTTGCAACCACAGATCCAAACAGTGTTTTAAGAAGTGCACATCCCATTTCTTAAATTACTCTCTACTACCTATGGTGTAAGCAACAGAGGTCTTGAGCATGCCAGCAAGTACAATCAGAGTATTTCAGTTGAGAAATGATGGTAGGTACTCTATTTTAATGCCAAGTTTTTTTCTCCTCTTGGCAGCAATGCTATTGCTCAGTTTTTTCCTGTTTAATCTTCAAGATAACTCTCCTAATGGCACTGATGTTCAACTGAATCCCACAACAAAATTGGACCCAGTCTACAACCCTAATTCTGAACTGATTGACGTGTGAATCACAATCAACATCAATCAGTACAAGGAATTAACACAATATAAAGCTGATGTGAAATCATGATCAGGCTTAATCTCTCAAGTATCTGGGTACAACCAAATCAGGTCAGTAATTAAGTGAAGCCAAAAGCAAATTCACACATTTCTGGTCATGTCCTAAATGAAGACCTATATAATATCTACGTGGCCTTTATATTTCTTTGTGGACACAAGAGTGATCAGAATGTGACAGTGAGACTTGATGCAAAACTCTTTGAAGAGAAAATAAAAAAAACACTCATATGGGTTCCTCTCACTTTTAATTTTATTTGGCAAAGTAGCAATTCAGATACCGCATTTATTCAAGCTCTTCAAATCCTCGGCATTTCAACTTCTCTTCTCCAAGAAGCCTTAAGACCAAAACCATTGCTTCATTCACCATGGAGGAATCTCAACTTTCAGACTCTCTCATTGCTACCCCTAGATTCAGATGACAGTAATGTGGCAAATATCACCCCTTCCTATGGAACAGGCATATTAACCCCCAACAGCCTTAGTCTCAGAAGTCTTATAGCTCCTGCAATGTGGGTCTTTTACACAGAAAATTTTGGATCATGTCTACCACCTCATCCAACATAGGTAACTTGTTACACTTTGTCTAGAGAGAAGAATTTGGATACATTTGCGTTCTTATTCTTAATTTAGCTGATTAAATTAGTGAGAAGAGACAAAGTTAAGAACTCAGTAAATTAGAATGACAGTGACCAAAAGGCTAAAAATTAGGATTAAGATGGTGTTATCTGCTGAGATATTTTATCCTGCTGCATGCATCATTTCAGATATTTCACTTCAATACTAAGAATATATTCACAGTTGATTGTCGATTAGCACAAATTTGACATCAGATGCAAACCCATTTTTCTTCATTGTATTTTCTAGAACAAGCACTAAGTAATCAAGTGACTTTCTTAATTTGAAATTAGTCTCCTTTACAGGATTAATATTGTGTATGTGCTCCCAAGCTTCAATTGAAAGATGGGGGGGGGGGTATATTAGCCTCCTAAATGTCTAAATTAATGATATGACATATTTTACACAGGAACAGGAGAGACTGACCTTCACATGAAGGTAATTTACTTGTTCTTTCACATTTCAGAGGCCTTTCAATAATACCCTTCATACTTTCAATGATTAAGTCTATCTCAGAAAATATGTCTTTTCTAACAAAAGCAGGCTGAATATTTTTCAAAATGAAACAGTGGCCTCTTTGAACCAAATCATGCAGGTTCTTATTCATCTAGCTCTGCTTCTTTGTAGTAAAAAAGGCAAAGAGCTTAACATGTATTTTACCACTCAAATGCTAGGAAGAATACATACACCCCCCTAAAGCAATCCAAGAGCTATACAGTTTTTAAAGTGCTTTGGGTTTTCCTGATGTCATTAACTGCAGCAAACACAGAACATAAAACCTGGGTCTTGAGAATGTTAAAAAAAAAAAGCCTTTAAATTACTCTTTTAAATGGATATTTGTAGTGTTTATACACACACTTAGCCCCCCCTCCCCTCCCCCAATATATTTATTTGGTCAGGGTTTTGGGATCCATCAGTTCTTCAGTATTTATCAGCTTTTTTTCCCTCTTCTATAAAAATTGAAGTTCCCCTAAAACATTAATCCAAATTTTTTCCCATCACTACCTGTAGGTGGAAGAAAAAAGTAGATAATACTGCAGAGATTTTATGTCAAAAGCAGCTAATTTTTAAACAATATGGATATTAATTTTATTGGAGTACAGTATTCTGCATTTCAAGCAGTTATATTTAACATACTGATCCTGATCTCCCATACAAGAAGCACACAAAACCCTTTTTGCTTTTAACTTTATTTGGCAAAGCAGCACTGCATAAACTGTTCAGTGATTAGGACATAGCTTACACAGCATTTGTTATGTTAAATTCATATATATATCAGCAGTGAGCTACAAAACAATACTGAGCTACAAGTTTCCTCTAAT